TCGTGTTGCCTGTAGATCTAGAAGAAACTAAAAGCTTAACTAAGAAATCCCTACAGACGACGTCAAATTATTTGACCAAAAGTGCAACTTTCGATTTAAACAGTTAAATTTATATAATAATGGATTAAACTTAGTTTATAATAATATCTCTAGATGTTATTTCCAAAAAGGTAACTAATGTTAGTTAGATCTAGTGGAGGATTGACAACAATATTCATTAATGATTCCAAAAAGTATGAGCAATAATGTATCAACTACTAGCAGTAAGTAACAATAAATAACATTTAAGTAAATAGAATGGGTGATTCACCCAATAAAGTATGAACTGGTTGATTATCTCTCATGACAATGATGAGTGACAGAAAATCCCAGAATATTCGAATTATTCTTGGATCTGATGGAAGGGTGTGGGATAATACGAACAAGAATCTAGATGAAAATGTAGTGTTTGTATCTGTGTAAGAGAGAGAAAGAATTTTCGATCAAAAGTGTGTTCTTGTCCAATGAATGTCACATGCCTTACACCATTGTTCCCTTTTCTATTTATATGAGATATTTTCTTAACAAATCCTAATAGTACACGTGCAGAGAATATCCACTAGAATATTCTCTTTAATATCCTATTTCGAAAACTAGTCGTTACAGCTTTGCCAACGGTGCTCGACCTCGACCCTTGTTGACATCTCGGCCACGAACCTCGCTGCTTCCTGGTCGACCTCGACTGATAACGGCTTGAAGACTTTTTCTTTAGCATTATCTTATCTTAAATATTCTAGAGCAGATTTTGACATATACAATAGTTTGTCGCATCATATTTTTCTAGTGTGGTTTATATTTCCTGTATGATTTGAAAGTTATTGCACAATGAATAGATTACCCAATATGCAACCGAAGGATAACGACTGCCGATTTTCCTTAGAGTTTTCCAAAAACAAATATAGACATAATTGTGACTGAATTTGAACTGAGAAATTTTTTTCACAATATACTGTCATTTGATTTTTGTATGCATATCAAATACTAGTATTCTTTTTTATACCTTTAATTTTTACAAATAGAACTAATACGTATTGACAATTTTCGTGCGCTATAACGGTACAGATTAGAAGGAAAGGACAAACATGAGAAGAACGATACTAGCTCAACATGGATAATCCGTTGGGTTCTTATATACTATCAAATACAAGTATACCAAATTTTGTACTGGTAAAAGATAACGGATACACAAAAGATTAATCAAAATACACATAAATTAATTCGAACACCATCATCCCAAAAAAGAAAAAATATGTACACGTCAGACCGTATAAAATAATACATTATTAAAGAGGCATACAAATATTGAAATTTGAAATACAAAAAAAGCGTGTTTCTAATTTAGTTGATAGAGTAATTTTTTAATCTATAAAGAAATTGAAGAACTAAATATTGGAAAAAATGTGCACTCGTGGTTTAAGACACGTGAGGTGGCGGCCTAAAGGAGGAGGGGACGGTGAGGAGTACGGGCAAAGGACAGAAGAAGTAGGTGAGGGTGCCATGTGAGAGCTGCATGTTTTTGTGGCACACCCTGCACCTCCACATTTAGATATTTTACCACACCTGTCTTCCCTTTGCCTCACTTGTACTAACTCTTCTTTTTCAACAAACAATTACTCTTTTTTTTGGTTTTCCGCTGGTGTTTATGGGTATTGAAGTTCGATTAAATTTAAATTTGTATAAGATAATTTTACATTGCTCCCTAATAAAAGTGACGTCATCTCCAATGTTTCAATCAAAAATTATGATTAAGAGCCCGTTTGGACATAAGAAAATTTTTCCTTTTTTTCAAAAAAAATTCACTTTTTTTTCGAAATCAACGTTTGTTCATAAAATTTTTAATTTTTACTTGAAGATATAATTTGGAAATTTTTGAAAATTTAAAAAACTCCAAAAAACTATTTTTCAAAATTTTCACTCAAATCACTCACAAAATTTCAAAAATAACCCAAAATTATATTCATGAAAATTACCATTTTCAGTTGAAATTTTTTTTCCCCCTATTTTAGAATTTTACAATTCTTATGTCCAAACGCCTACTAAGAATGGATGAACTAGATTGATCAGCACAATCAAGATTCAAGTGCCACTAACTACTAATACGTAGTTCAGAGTGATATTATGCAACTTGTTTAACTCTTTTGTTTCCCAATTTTTAATTTTTTTGATAAAACTTTATTTAGGACTGATAAACACCGGTAAATAAAACAAAAACTATGTAGAAACAAAAAATACGTGTTAACGTTTAACGAACCCCCCACACACAAAAAATAAAATAAAAAAACAACCCTTGTACCAAAGAAATTAGCTGAATATAAAAGAGAATAAAATAGCACTATCAAATATAAAAGCCAGTTATACTAACAATTGACAACAGAGGGATTTAAGCATTTATATTCCAACACACCAATTATGAGAAAATAAGTTAGTTATTAGTCTACGGTTATAGACTTTATTAGTATCATTTGAAAAAAGCCGGTAAACATTACTATCAAGGAACACATTTTACATGATTATACACATTACCAAACAGGTAAATCCCGTGAGTTTTTTCTTTACTTACACTTGTATTACTTAATTATGGATAATTCAACTGTCTTGACACATGATGAAAAATAAAAATAAAATAATAACTTATATTTATATTAAAAGTAACACAACATAATACTTCTATAAGAAAAAATAAATCTCTTAGTACTATCATAGTTAAAGGGAGAAGAATTGAAAACTGATTTAACTCCTCCCAATTTTTGAGTAGTACTGCTTTAAAATTAGATTAACCAAACATAATGTAAACATTGGATGAGGATATTACATTAACCTTTCCATAGAATTTTATTCGGAGGAGGAGCCTTATAAAGATTGTATTGATTCTTATAATAAAAAATATGATTAACCGAGGCTGTTCAAACAGACATAAGTCAAGCCAAATATAAACAATAAAAGTTTTTATCCTAGTATAGATAGTGGGCAAAGCTACAACTTTTTAGAACCCAAGAAGTAATTTGGCTTAGAATTTAGAATTTTTAAAGTTAAAATTCTAGTTCTACGTTTCATTATAAATTTGATTTCAATGCATCTACAGACATTTTTAGTCTAAAAGAGAAGTTTCTTCCAAATAATAGCGCAAGAATAAGAAAAGAGATAATTGCATTCTTTGTTGCTATGTTGTGGTTATTTATAAGAGGTAAGCATAAGTAAAGTCTTTAATTACATATCCAAACACTTGGCAGACAGATATTTGGCAAAGGTACATCTCGGAAACGACAACACACACTCCATTCATTGCATGTAGCCGAAATGAGTGCCATTCAATTTGTGGTTTTCGATGATTGAAGATATTTCATTCGCCACATTTAAAACACGTTGCGGTGGTTATTTGAGACCGCTAAACACAAAATTTTACAGTATAAGATCAAACCTTTCCATAACCGTGTTTGTTTGTTTCGAATATTTTTAGATATTATAATAAAGTATTGTTATAGAAAATATATATTATAATATAACATAAAAATTAATTTCGAAAAAATTTATATTTTATAAAAAAATATTATTATATAATAATATTGTTATAGAAAGATTTGACTATACATATAAATTGCATAAATTTCAAAGAGTAACGATCAATCCACAACAAAGAGACTGGCTATTGCCTATTGATAATTGGTATGGGTAATGACAATATTAGAGCGAATTACTATTTTAGTTTTTACTTTGTGCATCGTTGACGATCTTCAAAGCTCAATTAAGCTATATAAAGAAAAAAACTTTGACTATCTAAATTTCGAAATCATTTAAAAAGCGAGACAATCTCATTATTTTCCAAAAGTATGAATAAAGAAGTGAATGTTGCATATGAGAGTCGAATGCATGGATTGGTTCCTAATTCGTTTACGATATTTATGGTAGATTACCATCTCATTTTTGAAGATTTGCATTTTTAAAGGAAAATAAAGCTAGTGCTTTTGAAACAATTAAGTTGAAACTCCATCTATAAATCCGCTCATATTTTTGATTAAGAGAAGTGGAGAAACAACCTTTCCGTTACCATATAAGTTGCGTGACATGTTTTTTCCTAAATCTAGGTAACAATAATAATTAATTGTTCCAAAATCTAATCTGATATCATTAATTAAATCAAGGAAAACGTTAAAGTCGGTTACGGCAGTTCAAAGTGGCCGCGTGTGACTGGCACGTGGAGGTAGGCACGAAGGCCGTTATGATGGGTCAGGTTTTACAGCCTGGCTTTCCTCAGAGTATTAGTACCATTCGTCCTCTGATTCTACTACGGTTATTTGTCGTCTAGTGGCAGCTCATCACCACCCAAAATCTTTTTTAAAATTGAAAAAATAACTAATACTAACTAATATAGGAAAATATCAAAGCCCATGAAAATGCTCTCCAGCCTGGCTTTAGTCAAAGCCCATCCACTCATCTTCCGCACAACAACAATAACAACTCAGTATAATCTCACTAGTGGAGTATAAAAAGAATAATGTATACACAAATCTTATCCCTATCCTGAGATAGAAAGACTGTTTATTATAGACCCTCGGCTCCCTCCCTCCAAAAACTTCCAATCTTACTCTTGGGGTGACTCGAACTCACAACCTTTTAGTTGAAAGTGAAGAATACTCACCACTAGAGCAGCTCACTCTTGTCAAAATAAAATTATTATTATTAGCTTCCAAAACGGTCGGTTATTGAATTTTTTTTCCCATAATAATCTCTACCCAAAATTTAAAACCAACTACTCCTTAATTAAATAAATTCAAAATTCCCGAGATTTTCGTAATGTGATATATATGGGTGTCTATTTGAACCCTTCATCTTTTGACGCGTGTCCTTTGCCAGCCTGTATAGTAGTAACTGCCTTTGCTTCTCTCTAACCGGTCACTTCCACCTCCTCAACCGGTGATCCCTATCCTCTTTGCCTCTTGTAGTATATAAACCCCCCACTCTCCCCCACAAGTCTTCGTTCAGTAAAGGCGAGGCTCCGCCTCCCACCACCGTCAAATTGTAAATATTTCCTTCACTCTCCGTTTATCGCCGGAAATCTCTCGATTTCCGTTTTGTTATAATCTATCTGCTTCACCTTTTCTGACGGTTGCCGGTTGCTATGGCGGCGAATACACAGAGAAAAGAATCGGATCGGATTAAAGGTCCATGGAGTCCTGAAGAGGACGAGCTATTGCAGAGTCTAGTGGAGAAACATGGGCCCAGAAACTGGTCTTTAATAAGCAAATCGGTTCCGGGTCGATCCGGGAAATCCTGCCGGCTCCGATGGTGTAACCAGCTTTCCCCTCAAGTGGAGCACCGTGCTTTCACTTCAGAGGAGGATGAAACCATAATCAGGGCCCACGCTAAATTCGGTAATAAATGGGCTACTATTGCCCGTTTACTATCGGGTCGGACTGATAATGCTATTAAGAACCACTGGAACTCTACTCTTAAACGTAAGTGTTGTTCCATGTCTGAAGATTTAAGCTTTGAAACTCCTCAACAGCCTTTGAAAAGATCGTCTAGTGTAGGTCCTAGTACCAACTTTTCTTCTGGTATGAATCCGGGTAGTCCTTCCGGATCCGACTTGAGTGATTCGAGTCTTTCGGGGTTTCCCCAGTCTCTTGTTTATAGACCTGTACCGCGAACCGGCGGGATTTTCCCTCTTCCTCCTCTAGTTCAACCGATCGAAACTGCTCCATTTATACCCGACCCACCCACTTCTCTTTGCCTCTCACTACCCGGATCCGGCACCCGTGAAACCTCGATTCAGACTGCACAACCAACCCAGCTAACTCAGCCTCCTCAATCACCACCACCTCCTCCTTTGGCTTTGCCGCCGGTTGATAAACCCGTACCACCACCAACAGCTGTTTTCATGTCTCAGCTTCCTCAAACTAAGCAAAGTTATGATTTTTGTGTACCAGCTTTACCCAAATCAGGAGAGAAACAGTTTTTTACTCCGGAGTTTTTGGGAGTTCTACAAGATATGATAAGAAAGGAAGTAAGGAATTACATGTCTGGTGTTGAACACAATGGGCTTTGCATGCAAACTGATGCAATAAGAAATGCAGTAGTTAAGCGTATTGGCATTAGCAAGATTGAGTGACGATTATGTGAGATTACTGTTGGGAAATATTCATATAACAATGGCAGCAGCTCAGCGAAATGATGTTGAAATGAGACGGAGGAAACAATGCAAGATCGTAGTGTTTTTTTTTGTTTTTTTGTTTTTTTTGCCTTTCGTGGAACTCCAATATCGGGTCTACACAAAAATAATTTTGCAGTAATGTACAGATGAGAGAGAGAGAGAGAGAGAGAGAGAGGAGATAAAAGAAATTGAAAAAAGTATCTATTGTTCTGATTAGGAAAATGCACTGAAAAATCCATTCCACCAACCAAGAAAATTAAGAAAACAATATTGAGAATCTCAAGTCCCGTTTCCACTGATGAAACTGCTGCCTTAAATTAATATTTGACTAATATTGTGAATAAGAAATCAATCAATCAGTGTGCAAATTTAATCATTTTTAACAGCTGATGAGTATTTAAGAGAATTTTCTTTTAGATCTTTGCCAAAATATATTATTTGATGAATTTAAAAACATGGTATTTTGCACATACTTCATCAAACTACTGAATTTGTTTATGTTGAATTGATCTGAACTGAGCGGAATAATAATACTTAATTCATATGGTTATATTTTTAATATACTGAATTCATATAGTACTGAATTCATATGGTTTAGGATTAAAATATAGTTTTGATTGATAGATTGAGTAACAGTATATTGGGAAGTAATGAGAATATTGGGTAGTAGTCGTTCTTTGTATTAGTCAGTTGGACATGGGATTAGATTGGGTGAGAAACAAAGTAGGTCCGGTTTTAAATGAATTTTGTTTCGTTATCAACTAACCCCTAAAATAGATTCACTATTTATTTATGGACGGCGAGACAAGTATTTCATGACTTAAAGATTTTGATAACTGAAATTGTTTATTCAGTTGCTGATCTCCAGCTAATGGCAGCCTGTTAATGCGTTATTAGTCAAAGACATGCTAAGTTGCTTAGTTTGTGATATGATGGTTAAGTCACGAATGGTCGTCATAGTCGGTTAAAATTACCCCTTTTTGTAATCTAGTTGTGAGTTAAAGGAACATTCGAGAAAACATGTGAATAATCGGATTTTTTATTTATTTATGCTACAATAACTAGACTTTAATTGTTTGGTTGGGAAAAAAAAAAATCACAGACTTCAATTATTGATTACTAACCTTATCTTTCATGCTTAATGGTACATGTTATTGGGCACCTAATTGGCGGATAGAGACCACAGAGCCTCTGTTATCTTCACATTAGTTTTCTTTTAGTCGATCTTATAGTACAAGTAATTTTTTATTCAATTTTTTATGTGCACATTGTTTTCTTGATATTGGCCTATAATTTTAAAGATATGAACTTGAATCTAGCGTAATGTACAAAGTGCGACTTAGCAAGCACCTAGTTGACAGAAAAATAACCACAAACATCGATTGCTTTGTATTACGTTATCCCTTCCAATACACTTCAAGAATGTGCAGATTAATTATGCTTTGTTGCTACAATTGCAGAATTTGATGCTACAGATGATTTTTTTTCTGCGTTTTGGACAGTACATTCTTGTTGGAATAATTTGTTACTGTTTACCCACAAAATTGGATAACAATTAAACTTATAATGTGAATTTAAGGACACGTGATTTCACTTAATACCGATTGATAAATATGAAGATTAAAGATAGAATTATACAATAAAGTAAATCAAACCAGTATTTGAGTAGAACTCATTCTTTGAGTTAGAGTATAGTCGAACTGATTGATGCAAGGACGAATAAAACACAAGAAGCTGAAGAACAAGAGTGTGAGCGAGGAAGAAAATTAAATTGCTTTGTATAGTAGATGAATTCTATATATGGTACAATTCTAATTAGAGAAGGAAATCTCACGATTAACTAAACAACTGTTCTTGATTCGATCTGTTCCGGAAATTTTGTTATGATTTTCGACCGGTCACGGATATCTCGCTTTTTCGTTATTACGCAATCTCCTGTATTGCTAGATACCTATCTCGTTCAATCTCGATTGCTGTCGGCCTCGATCTTGGCAGGTGCCTCGAATCCCGATCTCGGTACCTTGTCTTCGTGCCTCGATCCGATCTACTTTGGAATCGTCCTTCGATGCAAACTCCCGGTCTCTGTCGAATAGTAAAATTAGGTGGGCTTGGTTTTAACCGTATACAGATAGTCTCCTCATTTTTTTGGAGTGTAATGACAAGAAACGAATTGAGCCTTCGATTTTCTACCTCGACCTATCATGACGTCATCCTTGTGACGTACGCGACAGAAGTGACTGAAACGTCCCGTCTGTACAGTTTCCTAAGCATTAAATGCGCGTCAGTCGATGGTCGGCTACCGCCAATATTGAACCGTCGTTGTGAAATTTATGAGTAGCCCCTCTCTCCACTATTTCGAACTTTTACTTTTGAGATTCTTAATCTTCAAAGCTTTTTATATCTTCTAACCTCTTCATCACATCTACGATTTTCACTCATACCATTTTCTCAAAACACCAAATTATCATCTGCATCTATTTTTAACTTCAAATTCATACAAAAATGGTAAAAACATAAAAGATTGTTCCTCAAAAGGAAACGCTTCTTCATCGTGGCCGGCCTGCGATAAAATACCCGTAGAGCCACGACCTGAAGAGTGTGTTCCCAGGGATTTTGTTATCACTTCTAACTTCAAAACCGATAAAGCCTCATCGATTCCCGGTCGATGCGAGCCAGTGTCGAGGTACATATGCTCGATAACTGAAGGGTACCTTAAGCAGGTAAGGAAAGACTGCAACTGGAAAGGCAAAGAAGTGGTGATACCGACCCCGGAAGAAGATATTACCACCCATGTGGAGGGATTTTTAAGTGTTTACACTTACTCTTTCACGTTAGGCCCCCTCGTCCCTGTCGTCATCGATTTTTGTCGTCAGTACCAGATAACCCTAGGCCAAATCCATCCTTCTTTTTGGTGAATTATTATTCTGTTTAGTTTCTTCTTAAGCAAAGTCGAGGGGATGCCTTTCACCCTCGACCACCTCATCAGGTTATACAGCCCCTACCTCTATAGAGACGGGTTGATAAAACTCCAACGTCGGGCCACCAAAGTGCTGTTCTCGAGCATAGACGAGGATAAGGACCGAGGTTGGATGGGCTGGTTCGTTCGAGTGAGGACTTCCGACCTAATCCCGGTCGAAAAGATGCCATTTCCTGAGAAATGGAATATGAAGCATAAGTATAATTCTATTGTTAATTCTTATTTATTATTTTACCCCTTTGCTTCTTCTTATCGATATCTTTTTCCGTGATGTAGCGGTTACTTGGAAGCCTGGTGCAATTCCTAACCTCAAGAGTTGGGTTCGGGACCTGGCCTCGACCTCTTCGTACTCTGAGCACTCATGGCGTGATTTAACAAGGGGCCGATGGGAGGCCAAAACTCATGGTAAGCCCCTTTCCTATGTCCTTGATGATTCGATCAAAATATTTTTCTTATACTTAACCAATTTTCCTGTGTGTAGGCCTCGACAAAGATGCAGTCACGAGGCCCCCTTCTGGTGAGGAAGAGACCTCGGCCCCGGTTACGAAACCGTCGAAGGACTACAAGAGAAAAAGGGTTTCGGCTTCCGAGGATCCAGAACTTAAGGCAAGAACGGCTCATAAGCCGAGGAAGAACACCATCCCTCTGACCGAAGAATCTGTTCGGCATATGAGGGATGAAGACGAAGACGAAGAAGAAGAAAACGATGACGGCTCCATACTGGTGGCTCGAGTAAAGAAAACCAATGATGCCCCAAAGATAGTTGGATCGATGGTGGTTGATGAGGCTCCGCCTCAAACTGAGGGGATATTAGAGAAGGAATCGGGCAAAGTCCCCAAGTCGTTAAAGTTCGATGATGTCTCCCACCGAAATGAACAAACAGTGAGTATATCTGAAGGGACCGGCTCTGAAGCTCTTCGAACCGAGGAGAACACACTAAGTGACTCCCTTGGGGCAATAGTAATCGAAGACTCGCCCACTCTCCCTGCTTTTTCCAAAGGGGCGATTCGGGAAGCCCGAGCTTTGGGAACCCTCGAGGTAGACGGAGCTCATGAGGGAGTGGACCCCTTCCGTGATTTGTTTACCAGTATCGAGGATGCTGCCGGCCCGAGTAACGCATCGGGTCTTTTCTTCGAGGCTCAATGAGCCCTGAATCAGGTAAGTATCGATTCCCTTTATTGATGCCATATTCTTCCATTTTCTGCCTAACTTTTTCTCTTTTTATATAGACTTTAGCTCTACATCAGGAGGAATTTTCCAAGTCTCGGGTGGAGCTGAGCCGATGTGAGGCTGACTTCCGAGGGCTTTCGAAGGAAGAAATGCCCTCAAACTTTTTAGTGGGCAAAAAGAGAAAGAGATCAAAGATCTTCGAGCCTAGTTGGCCAAGGCTCACCAAGATGAGATAGATCTGATCGAGCAGGTAATGAAAATCTTAAAAGTTCATGGGCTCGATTCGGGAACGGTGGCTAACATTTCAATCTCACAGTTGCAGCAGAAAATCGAGAGGATCGAGCAGTTCTATGAGGAGGTCAACATAATAAAGGCGGAGTCCTTGGATTGGAAGGAAGGTATGGACCGCTTTGATGCAGAAAAAGAGACTACTCGAGCCCAATTATCAGCGGTCGAAAGTTAACTTCAAGGCATGAAAGAGAAGAGCTCGACTCAAACAAGGAAAATAGAGGAGCTCGAGGCTCGGTTGGCTTCTGAACGTGACAAGGCCAAATCTGAAGCCGAAAAAGCAAAGGTCGAGGCGGATGTGATTTGTGGCCCTCTATTGGGCCGATGCTGAAGCCGCTCAAGTCCAGGCAAGAGAGGAATCAGAGTCCGCTTAAACTCGAGCATATTGGATTATTGAACTCGCCAAATGCCAATCTCGGAGGGAAACCCTCAAGGAAATTTACGCTCGGGGTTTCGATCTTACCAATGAGATAACAAAGGCTAGAGAGCATGAAGCCGAAGCCGGAGTGCTGGCCACTTCCGATGACGATGATGATGATGGCAGCAAGAGCGGTTTCAAGAATGGGGAAGACCTCGATGTAGAAGAAGCTGCCCCAGGAGGAGATCAGGGACCTTAGGATTTTTTACTTTTAATATTTTTTGTATATGTCCCGATCGAACCTTTTAAATATTCATATATATATATATAAAGATAGCTTTCCTTTCTGACTTGTCTTTATTTCTTTTATGCCTTGTGAAAGTTTTGTTCATAAGTTCGAGGCTTAGGTATTTTGATTGAAATCGGACTAGTGTAGTTTTTATAATCGAGTGAGTACTTGCTCGAACTCGGAATAGGGTGACCCTCAGGTTTTAATTGAGTGAGGATGATTTCTTCGAACTTAAAAATAAACTGGCCTTTTAGGCTCTTAAATTAGGCTGATACGTCCATATCAAAAAGAATGGC